CTGAGAAGATCTTCACAGACAAACTATCTAAGAATGCCAGGAGACAAGAGGAAAATGAAGAGCCTAATAATGACTTGATGATGCTGGAGGGTAGGAAGGATCTGGACTCACCGAGCCTCAGTGAGAGTGTGGTCAGCGACAAGGACGAAGGACGAGAGACGGAGCCCAGGCCAAAGAGCCGTTCCTCAGCATCTCTTGAGCGTATCACCGAGGTTAAACACAGCCTGACACTGGATATACCCACTGCCCAGACTAACCGCTGCTTTAGCCTCACCTACTCCACAGACAATGACGAAGAGGAGGATGATGGAGACTCTTACCCATTCCTGGGTGGCTTGAGGAAGGAGTCTTACCGGGGTAGTGAATTAGAGCTTGACAGTTCACCACCTATTGATTCCAGTGTGCAAGACCATCCCTTACCTGACCATGACCTCCCACTGTGTAAGAAGGATCTGGCTCTAAGGGAGCCGAACGAAGAGGATGAACTGGCCTATGACTCCATGAAGTACACGTTAGTGGTGGATGAGAATACTACGCTGGAACTAGTCAGCCTCAGAAGGTATGCTCCGAAAATTAGTGAAATGTGTGGAAGCTAAATATAAACTGGAGTATGAGTGTGTCTGTGTATAAACTGAGCAGAGCAACTGGAATATTATTTGCATAATTCTTCTACTAGAGCTAATATTGTATAACATTTCTTTAAAATGCTCTAATTAAACACTACTTCAGAATGATGTGCCTTATAGTAGTGAATCAAGCTGTCTGTCAGTACTTGTGGATTACTAGCCCTAATTGGAAATTTGAAACGGACAAACTGCGTCCTATCAGGTGCACCTCCGTTCTGAGTGATGACAGTGAGCTGTCCACACTATGTGACGAGGAGCCTTTGGGGACAGGAGAAGTGTGCTATGGTCGAGATGATGAGGAAGTGAGGCCAGAAGTTCTCAGTTCTTCTGAGGACTCCTCTCCTGAAGCTGACCTCCCATTCTCCAAGAAGTTCCTCAATGTGTTTGTCAACAGCACCTCCCGCTCCTCCAGTAAGTTGCGCATAAGGCTATTTAGACACTGCACCCTTCTGTAAAACTCTCAGATATGTACTTGGAATCAAAGATTTTTAGTGATTAAAGGAATAGTTTGTCACTTTGGGAAATACACATATTCTCTTTCTTCCTGAGAGTTGAACATCTATACAACTCTTCTATTGGTCAATTAAAAATAAAACTACAGTCAGGAGATGGGTAGCTAAGCTAACTAAGACAAAGTATATCTTGCGTGTTTCATTCAGAATGCACATAAAACCAATACTTGTTGTTTTTACACTTTGGTTTGTTAATAAGTGATCTTCAAAGGTGTTGGTTTTTACCTTTGGATGGAGCCAGGCTAGCTGTTTCCCCTGTTTTCAGCTTTTATGCTAAGCTAAGCTAACTGTCTCCTGGCTTAGTATACAGACATGAAAGTGGTATTGATCTTCTCATCTAACTCAAGGCAGAAAATGAACGTCCAAAATTCCAAAATGTGGAACTATTCCTTTAACCTAAGGCCCCTGTAAATAATTTAGCCTGCAGCTAATGGCCCTGGAGCATCTTTGCTAAAATCTTTCACTCAGGGTCCTCAGAATGAATATACGGCATTAGGGTTTAACTCATCACTGTCAGCATTATACATTAACATGTGATCTAAATTTGGCAGGGAGCCCACACAAAACCTATGGGGGAGGGCTCTGCTTCCCAGTACATCCATCATCAATCAGTGCTCTCGCTTCAAGACTCATGTCCATAATGAAGGGTGATTTGCATAATGAAAGGCTCATTACAAGGACTTTAGTTGCCATTTCTTTTTTTACAAATCCAATTAGCTTCCATTTAGACTTCCTCACATAAAGGTTATTTGAGAATGTTCCCCCAACAAATAACAAAAAATATTATTTGTATTTTATTTTGGACATTTACCTTTCTATTTGAAATAAAAAAGTTTTCAGGGCATTAAAACAGCGTAACTGGTGTCTGTTTACCACGTAGGCACAGAGTCCTTTGGGCTTTTCTCCTGTACCATCAATGGAGAGGAGAGGGACCAGACACACAGGGCAGTCTACAGGTAAGACAATCTACAGTACACTCATTTTTAATAATGGGACCTCAATGTGAATTGGTGCAACAATCATATTTATAATTAACTGGAGATCATTTTGCGATGAGATCACACCAGCCAGGTCGCCAAATCGGTCCAGGGGCGTGAAGTGGGAGAGACAATGGCCCCTTCCCCACATCCTACCTCCCTACTTCCAGGGTCCTTGCTTAGACCACAACTATCTTCGAACTTTGCCTTCATTCTGATCTGCGTCTTGCTCATTTTTCACGCTATCACATGGACAAAATCTGTCCACAGACATATAAACACCTGGCAGAGTACTCAAAACTGCTTCTGCTGTAATTCCCGCTACAGCAGGTGTCTCCAAGACCGCATTTTACCTTGATGACAAACAAACACACACACAGACTCACAAGGTGAAAGCAATATCAGCCACATGCTGTCACGGCTGATAAAGATTGCAAAAAATAATAGTTGTTTTGTAGAATTGGTACAGTGGAATGAATTGTGAATGCCATTAGCTCCAATTTTCAAATGACCATTTTGTGTCTGGGGAAAAAAAGTCCTTGAGAAGACAAACAAAACAATATTTCTTTCGAGGTTTCACTAATTGTGTTACGGAGGAGAGCAGATGGCCAAGCTAAAGCTGAGCTCGAGAGCTGCAGGGTGACCAGTAATAAGCACATCAGCCACCACCTGTGTCTGTGCTTGTGTGTGTGTGCGAGCTAGAGGGAAAGCTACATGCACCTCCTTTGTATACACGTACATGTTGTGAATGTATTATTCGGTATTTGCTTTGCCACGGTCCTCTATCAGTAAGTACATCCCCACATTTAGAGCTCGTTGTCTTCCTCCACCCACCCCACAATCTTTTCTCTGTCAGCTGTTTCATCCCTCTTCTCTCTCTGCTCCGCAATGGGAGTAACCTGAAACTCAAACAGACGCTTCCTGATCAAATTACCTCCACTCTATAAGATACCAAGCAGCACCGATACCATGTAAGACAGTGTGTGTAACAGTAGTTTTTGTTTTTTAGTCCTCCTCCTCTCTGCTGCTCTCTGCAGGTTCATTCCCAGACATGCAGATGAGCTGGAGCTGGATGTGGATGATCCTTTATATGTAGAGGAAGAAGAGGATGACTACTGGTACCGAGGCTATAACATGCGGACAGGGGAGAAGGGCATATTTCCTGCTTTCTATGCCCATGAGGTCATAGGCCAGTCCAAGGAGCTGTTGGGTGAGTTGAGAGACACATCAACTGTTGTTTCCTCTGCCTCTCTGTTAGGGTCAGAAAAATCACATGTTCTGTACGTGTGTCCGTGTTGCTCCCCGTAGGAATGAAACGAAATCCAGCATGGATCGAGACTTTCAGCGTTCAGTTTTTGGGGTCTGTTGAGGTTCCTCATCACCAAGGCAACGGCATTCTCTGTGCCGCCATGCAGAAGGTAAGTGGAAAAACAACAAAACATTATGCGCGATCACACAAAACGGAGCCAATCATGTATGACATACTGTGTGCACCATTAAAGCATGTTTGTTTTGACATATCACAATATTTTCTGTTAGATTGCAATATCGAGGAAACGGACGGTACATGTGCGACCTCCTTCCCTCTGTGACCTGGAGATTAGCTTGCAAGGAGTGAAACTGATCATGAGCCTGGAGGATGACTATGACATCCTTGATGAGGTATGGAAAAACAAATCATAAATAAACAAATCATAGACAATTTATCCAAAGTCAGTCTTCCCTTTAATGTGAAATAATGTGGCATTGATAGCTTTTTTTCTTTCATCCTGTCTGTCTCTGCATCTCATAGTATGACAGATGTAGTCACTTCTTCCAGATGAAAAACATTTCCTTCTGCGGATGCCATCCGAGGAACAACTGGTGAACAAGCACATTGGTTGTCTGCCCTCGTGTCAGCAGCGTACAGTGTAACATCTGACTGATTTCATCATATTGTTTTCTTCTCTTTGCAGCTACTTTGGCTTCATCACTAAGCACCCGATGCTGAACAGATTTGCTTGCCACGTGTTTGTATCCCAGGAGTCCATGCGACCTGTAGCAGAGTGTGTTGGGTGAGTACAAATCACATTATTAAACATACAACAAGGCACGATAATGTCTGTACATCTTTTTTTTATGTTTCTCTCAATTTGTTTGATTTGATATGTTTACTCCACTTAAACTGTAAATGCACCGTAGAAGGCTGTCTTCTAATAGCTGGCAGGTTCGTCTTTAGTCATCTGTCCGTCTCTTCCGCAGACGAGCCTTCCAGGAGTACTACCAGGAACATCTGGAGTACGCCTGCCCCACCGAGGACATCTACCTGGAGTAAGAAGTGTTGCCATGACGACCACCTTCTCTCTCCGCAGCTTGTGTGTGTGTGTCCACCGGGTTTGCCACCAGAGGGCACTGTCAGTGGGGTCTTCTCTCCATTGTAAAACACTCTTCTGTGAGATCTTAATTTTTACAGTATGCTAGGCATTTGACTGATTTCATTCATCCCCCTCTCTCTGTTTATTTCTGTCATCTAGATGGATCGATTGCCTGTTTTCTTTGATCTTTTTCTATGATATAAAACTAAGATGCCGAGCACCTGTTTATTTAAGGGTTCCTCTTTTGAAATGAAAACAATATACCTACTACTGCTGTTTCACTCTGCATGGCAAGTAGGGTTACTGCACACAGACACACTAAGAAATACACATATCCATGAGAATGGCAAGCAGCTCAACAATCAAAACGGGAATGGTGTAGAATCCAGAGGTTGGCGTTTGATTAACTGTAAATATGTATTTGTTCAATATTGACAAACTGCTAATTTGATTTCTACCAATAGTGACATTGGAGCAAAGTAGAGAGAGTGCAGTGAACTGTCCTTGGTCCGATCTTACCCTTGTGTCGCGTACGAGACGTAGTGTGTGTTGTAAATACGTGTATAGAAAGTAGACATACAGGCGCCTCATCCAGACTAATTAAGAAACACTCACAGCTGAGACTGATGGAGGGGATTTTGTTTTGTTGTGGGTATTAATGACTCACTCTGACAGGAGTAACTGCAGGTGTAAGAGATCTGAAAGTAATGACTTGTAATGAACTTTGAATGTCATTTGCCACGCAGATATTTTATTCAGCTTGGATTAGGTGCAGTGAGTGTCAGCACATTCGGATGATATGACAGAACCGTTTTACTTTTGTCCCGTCCTCAAAGTTGCACTGCTTGCTGACCTTCACACTGGGTAGCTTTCATAGGAAATTATTCAACTGTTAGATTTTGCAAATCATAGATCACTGTCGGCTTTGCTTTGATTGGTGTGCGTTTCAGGTCAAAGAAAGCAAAGACCCTCTGAAAAGCCATATTCTTACACCTCCGACTGTTTAACTCTGGTTGTCAGTGACGTCCTCGTCTCCGTTTTCTTTTGACTTGACAGTTTCAGTGAGGGAAAAGGAATGACTTACCGGTAGCTACGTGTCAGTAATACTGTTTTGCAGTGTGCCTACTGTACAGGGAGAGCGTCCTGCTAATACTTGGTCCTGGTCACAATGTTATCAAACCTTTAATGAAGCATTAAAAGGGAGGCATTATAATTATGTAAACGGTTAGACCTTGATCTTGTTTTTAAAGTATGATGGATAAAAGGGATGACAACATCTTCCCACGTTCATTTATTGCTCTTAGTCTAGTTCAAAGGTTGAAGCATCATTCACATGTTTCACAATAACTTACTCTGGGGTTGTTGTAGCATACCATAGCTTACAGTCTAGTACCTTATATACAGGAGGAGAGGGGTTATATTTAACAATTAATGCACTCACTACAGAAATATCAGGCTTTACCACCCCCCGACCATCCCCATTGTTCTTTCACACTGTTTAGCATCTTGTTCTGCTGCTTTCAGTCATAGTCCACAAGAACAAACTCCTCAGTTCACTGTTGATATGGCAGGAGGGCGGTAGGGTGTTATCTACATATGTATCACTGTCACTTAGATCATGTATATATAATAGCGAATCTAAGATAGTGCTGTGTCCTTTATGTTGAGTATGTTATGAAATAGTATGTACATGACTTAAAAAAAGAGATCACAACCAGACAAAAAACCCCCGAAAGAAAAGAAAAACATAAAAATCTGTGATCCGCAATAATTTTATTTCAGTGTCTTATGTTTCTTCACAAGATGTTAACTCAGAATCTGTGAAACAGGTGGCTTTTTGGGTTCCTGCCAACTTCATAACTCTCTGCAGACAGGCTTCAGCAGCACATTTAGGGCACATTTGTGAGATGTGACATCACTAGTGTGACACACACACCCACCAGACTACTGACCGATCTGCTTTTAGAGCTGAATAGTGACCGAGTCAGCTTCCACTGGAAAACTATTATTGCATCTTGCCGATTATAGTAATCACCTTTGAGCTCCAACAGTGTGACCCATCGCTGATCTGTATCTATTTGCTTCTAATTGTTTTTCTATCTCATCACAGCACAGTTAAAACCGCTCTTTCCACACAGCTACACAAAAACAACCTCCGAGGATGATCTAGTCCCATATAGCCGCTCAGACATAAACTAACAGTTAAACCAAACTTTTGACTTTAATACATTAACAAGATTCTTCACTGTATACTTAGAGCAAAACATTGTGACAGAACCAACATATCCTATCTTGTATCTTTAAAAACAAGGACTTGTAAAATTAATGAAAATTCCAGGGAAAAACAAAGAAAAAAATGACAAAAGAAATCACTCTGCCTTGTCATGGGTTTGGTCTTATGAATAAAATATATGCTTGATGTCCGAAACCTTTTTTGTTGTCTTTATTGTTCAGATCCACTCTTTATTGTTCGTGTGACTGCAAGGCATTTCACATGAAACCCAGACATCTATTCACAATGTTATGATTCCAAAGAATGTTGAGGTGAAAATGGAATCTATTCAAATAAACAGTACACTGTTATACAATAGTTCTCAATGTAGTCAATATAAATATTAAGAAAATCATCTCCTCATTGAGGAAACTGATTGTTTGCCATGTTACTTTTCAGTACAAACTCTTAATTATGTAATTATACTGTAGCTGTCCAGTAGCAATGCATCATCAGATAATTACAAAATCAGCTTTCTCACAGAACAACCTCATAATCAGTGCAGTACCTCCAGCCTGTCCCACATCGTTAGCGGTTGTGGGAATTTGTCCCGTTAACACTTGCAGCAGCTGGGCTTGGGGCTACACTGAGGATTGCAGCAAGGCTCCAGGTTCGGGTCTGATCCTTTCGATATCTGGCTCTCTCCAAACACCATGGAGGCTTCAAACTGCCCCTTGACTTTCTTGATCCTCTCCAACACGGCTTGGAGGTCGGGTCTTCCCATCAGGGGGAGAGGGTAGTGCTCTGAGGGGTCGGCCTCCAGGTTAAAAATAAGAGGGGGGTCGTGGGCCTTGAGGACTGTAAATAATGAGCAGTCTTGGTCCGGGGTAGTACTGCTATGGGTAGCACCTGAATGCACAAACACGGACAAGCAGGAGTCAGAAATACCTCAGCTCTGACTGTGATTATGCTTCTTGACATTTCAACTAATTGTGCATACGATGCCTCTTGTACCTCGTGTATAGAAGTGGGCCTTGTACTTCCCAAGCCTGAGAGCAAACAGACCATACATCTCACTGGGGTCTGTGGGGTAGAACATCATCGCCTCCCTTTTACTCTGCAAAAACCGGTAGAATTAGGTGAGGTTGGCAGAGCATACCAGCAATGGCACAGTAGACGGCATTACCGTCCAAAGTAACTTTTTACCGTCCTCTGCGACGGAATTTACAATCGGATGTTATGTAGCTCACCCACGCGAGGAGAAATTTGTTTAAATTCGCAATACAGCTACATTTCATAGATACTAGAATAATTACATAAAATAGTAGAAAGGAAATCATTTGATTTCATATATTTCATTCCATCAGCACAGCAACATATCTTCATGTGTGTTTTGTTGACATAATGGCATTATGTCGGACTGTTTGTTTGTGTTGTCCGTCTGCTGTCTACCTTCTGCCTGCTTCCATGTGAAAGCACCATTGGAGATAATAGAGTCAATACATCAGCTTGGTTTTCACATTATTTCAATCTCTTCAGAGTGTGAGGTATGATGTCACTACCTTTCCTTGGTTGACAAGGATTTCTGTCATATCGACCCCATCCAGCATCACCCGGGGTAGTTTGGCTCCTGCCAGACTTGCAATGGTGGGGAGGATATCTAGAGTGCTGGCCATCTCATGAGTCACACCTAAAGAGATGCGTACGGAGAAGGAACAAGCGACAATCGCTAAAAGGCCATGTGTAATGGGTTTGCATTCATTTTAATATGGTATTTATATTTTCATACTGGATTGTATGAAATCAGTGAAAATACTTGTGGTATGCTTTTGAAAATGGTCAGCAGTAAAGCTTAGCATACGTGACTGAAATAAGCAAAACCATCAGTACAGTCTTTGAATATATACACCAAGTGGTCGGTGTAGAAAACTCTGGTGTAGAAACCTTTTTGTTTTGTACTTTGTAGCATCACTCAGCCTAAACTTTTGGTGCAGAGGATTAAGGAGTCCAGACCTGGCCTGATGGTCCCGGGCCAGAAGGCGATGGCTGGCTCTCTCATGCCCCCCTCATAAGTGGTGCCTTTTCCACATTTCAGAGGACCAGCGTTACCTCCGCGGGACATACGCATAAGTTCGGGCCTACACATGGAGACGAGAATAACACAACATTTGATGAAAGGCAGTAAATGCATTAGCATAAGAAGGCAATAAATCAAATATAAAAGAGGGCAAAGATATAATGTAACTTCCCCTTTGACCAATACTGTACCACAGCTATGAGGAGGGAGAGTAAAATGTCTGCATAAGAAAGTATGAAAGTAACTACAAATACAACACACGCCATAGATTCATAAACAAACTGGCAACAAAAACCAACCCATTGTCTGAAGTGAAGAAGACCAGTGTGTTGTTGATCACTCCTGTCTTCTCCAGAGTTGTCATGAGGTTTCCTATTGTGTTGTCAAACTCCAAAAGTGCATCTCCAAATGGTCCCCTTAACGAGCGCCCGGCTGCCCCTGGACCTGCATACTGGGGGTAGTGGGTGTGCTGTAGGAGGAAGTAGAATACTGGGTTTACTGTCTCGCTGCACTACCAGTGCACTCACGTTTTGCCTTCTAAAGACTTTAACCGACCAGGAGAGAGCTCTGATTCTGCCCTGATTGTAAATGTTGTTTTGCTCGAGGGGTACACCATCAAAGACTGTCTATTTTGCTTACATGGGAGGGATAGTAGAGGAAGAACGGTTGCTTTTTCTTGGCTGAGGAGGTGATGAAACTGATTGCAAAATCACTGTAAGCCCTTTCCAGATCGAGGAAGTTGACTGGCTGCTGCTTGATGACCTCATTTTGCATTAGTGGGACAGTTACAGTGCCAACATCACACAATCCAAAACACTTTACATCTGGAGGGAAACAAGTCAGGTTCTGACAGGGGCCCTGGGAAAGAAAGAGCAAGACAGAAGAAAAATAGACAAAAAACTAAATAGACACTAAGATAGACATTGCAGAAAATAAATCACATTACGCTGTTTTTTAACTATTACCAGCACAGATTACTTTTCAAAACTTTGAATCATTTTAGTTTGGCACTCAATTCAATTGCACTGACCATATCATGGGAGTAGGGGATCCCCATGTACTGGTCAAACCCCTGCCTGGTTGGAAGAAAGGTCCCGTTGGCCCCTACTCCTAAGTGCCACTTCCCCATGGCAGCAGTAGCATAGCCCACAGGTTTCAACACTTCAGCAATGGTGGTCTCATTGAGAGGAAGACCGCCTCTAGAGCCTGGGTACAACACTCCTGGGTAGATACCTGAGCGGGTCTGATAGCGCCCCGTCAACAACGATGCCCTGGAAAGCCATCGAAGAGGTAGGAAGGATGGGAAAGTGTATAATGTGTGTGGACTAGAGTTCAGTTTTGCAAAATGTGGCTAAAAGAATATAAGGCATGTTTTACTGTAATTTACAAATGCCTTTGAACATGGAGATATTCTTCATCGTGAACCAGCTGTTGTTACACACAGAAACTAAGTATAAGGATGAAGGATGTAAACGGTGCAGAATGTGAAAAGCAAAGGAATAATAGTTCATCCATGCATCTATTTTCTATGCCAGCTTACCTTTTCCAGGGTGGAGCATTTTACAACATGCATGTATAGTGGAATTTTAAAGTCACTGCGAAGAAATGTAAACTGTTTCCGATAGTGTTGCTCAATAGCCATGACCCACTGTGTTGAAGAATACTGCTGATGAAGTGACATAATGTTTTGATTTAGTTTTGGTATATCATTGTTTTTGTGTAATATGCTTGAACAACTACTACTAAGTTATAATGTGATAAATTGAAGAAGTCAATGTAAGCCACATTGTGAGACACAATTTATTTTTTGCAGAGTTATCAAATTGTGACAACATGCACGTTTTCATTTTATTACATAATTGTTGTTTGGCTGGCACGCACGCACGCACGCACGCGGCGGTCCTGCGTGAACAACGGACAGTGTAACTACCTGGACGGGGTGCAGACGGGACTGGTGCAGTAGAAATCTGTGAACCGGAGTCCTCCCGCTGCCAGGCGGTCCAGGTTTGGAGTGAGTGAACTGGGGTGTCCATAGCAGCCCAGGTCCCCGAAACCTAAATCGTCTGCAAAAAGGAGGACAAAATTCGGCGTTGAAGCCGAGCAGGTGTAAAACACTAAAATTGTCAAAAGGTAGAAGCGGATGTTGTCCATCCTGCGTCATTCTTCATCTGCGTGAAGATACAGGCGCTGAGAGGAATCACGAACCAGGAACCAAAACAAAACGTCACGTGTTCAATTGCGGAAACTGTCGCGTACAGTTGACGTCACGCACAGCCAGGAAATGTAGTTTGGACCAGTCCACACAATTCAGGCAAATTAATGTTATTTAAAATACAGGAAATTGTGCAGTACCCTATTTATGAAGAACAATTTGGACTTTTCCTGTCCTTCGTGAGGAAGGTGGTTACAGCTGTTTAGCTGGACTTTGATTGCCAAAGCACATTAGTTTGTATCAAGACCTCCTTGTCTGGTGACTGTGCCTGCTGTGGGAAGACAGAGACTGTCCCCAATGTCCTCAGCTGGTTATGCCTCCTGAATGGAATTGTAGGTCTGAGGGCCTGCGGCTGAGTTTCTGTCCTCTGTGGTAACCTTGGTATCTGCCTTTAATGCAAACTGACACGTGGTCAATTACGCAAACAAGGTGAGAAATAAATCACCGGTGCAGTGCTGCAGGAGCCACCGGTTTGAGGAGAAATGGACATCACAGCTGATTTAGTTATGTACAGACTATAGTCCAGTTCTGGGCCCATTTATTTATTTATTCTCAGAGTCAAGCGTCAGCGAGTTGGACAGGACATGAACAGGAGGGTACCACCTGCATTCAAATGAGCTGGCGTTGTGTGTGTTTGAGAGTGAGACAGGTGCAATGGGATGAATGAGTGAGAATACATGGAAATCCCTACACATGTGTCATTTGAGGCACCAGAAAACTTCACTCAGGCAATTCCCAGGTGCTTTTATGCAAAGTGATGCTGACACCTGAAACAGAATCAGTGAGGAGTGGCCTGACAGCGGAATTCTGATAATGGCTGTTTTCTTTGGTCTGGATGAATTATGCAACACATACACACTGTACCTTTTCACCACAAACACCATTTTGTGTGTCTGTGTGTGCGCACAGGTATGGCTATGAGTTAGCTCATGTGCTGTCCAGCAGCCTTAGGGATGCATTGATGTGGCGTCAGCTGATACAGAGTTTTCATTTACTATTCACTTTCACATTTCTCTACAGGACTGACCTACATTCAGCAGCTGCAGTAGTGTGTGTTAGAGCTAGAGAGAAGAAAAGGAGAAAATGGAGATAAAATATATAAGAGGCACATGATCCAACTATTGCTGCAATTTTGTCAGCTGTTCGGCTTCTCTCTTTTTAATGCTGGGGTAATATCAAACCCACCCAGCCATCTATGGATGATACAGATTTACGTCAGTTCTGTACATACTTTATGTGTGTAATGTATTGTGTCATTGACATATATAGCCAACAGAGTGACCCTGGGGGAAAGTGAAGAGGCAGGCTTACTGCTTGCAGTAAGATCTTTTACTTGACCTGCTGAACTTAAGAGAGCGTGCACATAAACACACACTTGTACACAAATATACATATGCGTACATGCATAGGTGGATGCTACGTAAAGCCAAAGATTAGAACATGATCACTCTGAGCTTTTGAAGAACTACCTCCCTGCAGGAGGTCTTATCTAATCGTCGGAAACCCTGAGCTCTGGAAACATCCCTGCAAGAAACAACCTGGTGCTTTAAGCCTGGAGGGGG